AAAATAGTGATTCTTTTAGACAAAACTTCAAGTCCCATATCCAGCACTATAACTTTTGGGAAGACTGAGAAATGGTCTAGAAAGAAATTTTACCAAGGATTATGAGGTCGGTTTATTACAGAAGCAAAAACATTGCTTCTGTTCACTTTGCTCAATGAGCTACACATATCTGAACATTATGCTGACATTTACAAGTTCTTATTTATTTACTTACTTTTACATGCTTAATTTTTTAACAGACGGAAAGAAATCTGACATTTTGATTGAGGTGTTCAGCCATAAGCAGAGTCATTATCAGAAACCTCTTCCCCATCTCAGTGATTTTACCTCTGCTTTAAGGGAAGTCAGTTCTTCCCAATCATCCACACCAGGAAGCATCTACAGTCTCCCCAGGTCACCAAACCCCCCACTTCCCATAGAAGTCACTTCTCTGTCTCTCTCTTTCTTTATTCATTTCTAATATTATGCTGCTGTTTTTTCTTTCTCAATCTAATATTATTAAAATAGTTAAAATATCTCCTACCTGCTTGGAACAGTGTCTAATAAACAAATTCATTCCACTTTTCTAAAACATTTTAACATATAAATACAGTGGGTGTATTTATATAAATTTATAAAAATAGCCTGGCCAGTGTGGCTCAGTAGTTTAGCCTGGACCCATGAACCAGGAGGTCATGGTTGGATTCCTGGTCAGGCCACAGGCCTGGGTTGAGGGCTCAATCCCTAACTGGGAGTGCGCAGGAGACATCCAAAGATTCTCTTTCATCATTGATGTTTCTATCTCTCCATCTTCCTTCTTCTCTGAAATCAATAAAAACGTTAAAAAAAGTTCATTTATCTTAATAACTTTAATCAGTTTTGCTAAATTTGAACTGATCTAAGTAGAATTGTGCATTGCTTTATGATACTTCATTTACTCAATATAATGTCTGAAATGTTGTGTTTGTCAGAAGTTAATTCTTTTTTATTGTTTTGTAGTGTTCCATTGTATGTAAACACAACATTTATTTATCTCTCTGCTGTTAATGTATTTTTAGATGTTTGAAGTTTGGGGCCCTATTGTCAATTTTTATTTTCATTCAGTTCAAAATATTTCCTAATGTTTGTTGTAATTTTTTATTTGATTCACTTGTGTTCAGAAACATGTTTCTTCATTTCCAAACATTTGAAAATTTTAAAGTTATCATTCTATTAATTTCTAATTTAATTATAATGCCATCATTACATAATGCAGTCAATTTAGGTAAATATGTGTACTTGAAAATAATTTGAATCATGCAGTTTGGGGCTGTGATTTTCTGTATTTGTTAACTAGGACAATTTAGTTAATGAGGTTGTTCAAACTTCCGGTAGTCTTACTGATTTTGTTTTCTTTTTGTCTACTTGTCTTATCAGTTATTGAGAAATGATGAGAATGGATTTAATTCCTATCAATTTTACTTTATAAATTTGGAAATTATGTTTGTAGGTGCACAAAAATTTAGGATCATTGTCTTCCTGTTGATCATTTAGCTTATGAAATTTCCTTTTTCCCATAATATTTCTTTC